AAAGTCAGAATACTTTACGATACCAAACAAAACAAAAAATACAAATATGCCATCCTATTTATGACGCTTAATATTCGCGCGCCATTCTAGTTGCTAATAAGAGCATACTGATTAAGTAATGCTGAATATGTCTGGCCAGTAATAAAGACCTAAGTCGGGACAATGGCCATACATCTTGAACAAATGCAGCGGACCCAGACGGTAATTACATAATATTTTAACAGCAATGTGAAGATAGAGCTATTTGTGTCTGCCACTTTATGGTGACCTGTTGTCTAGTTGATCTATGGCAGTCAGATCTCAATTGCTGGCCTATGAATGTAATAGGTTTTAAGATTAGTGGTCTATTTGTCAAAGAATTTGTGTTTTGGTTGCGTTGTATTGTTGGTTTTGTTATCTCTTTGCGTTAGGCTAGTTTTCTTAAAAATCTGCATTTTTTATGGCAGCTGAGTCTGGGTTAATGCGTACACCATCAGCTTTGTTCCATATATTGACGATGCAGCACACCGTGCGATTTGCAATTTACAAAAAGATGCTCATAAAATAATATTGATTCGTAATAAATAAAAATAGAAAATCATACTCCAATGTAATTTACAGTTTTTCAATTAATTGACTCTCACGGTAAGATTTCGCTCTGAGAACGACTATAGAACTACATGACGTTTATAAAAAGTGGTAGTACGTAGTCAATGTGGCGGGCAATTTCAACTGTCACATTATACACAAAAAACTTGTTGGCAAGTTGTTGAACATGTCTGTAGGACAACGACTAACTTAAATCTTGCCTTATAAAAGCGAAATAAAGAAACATCATGGGAAAATTATTATTTATATCGTTTATGTTATTGCACGTATTAAATATCATCTCATTTTTCAATGAAGGCACCGTCATAATAAAAATATTAACTAATTTATAAGGGGGCTTCTTTGCAAAAGTTATGGCATTTTATGACTCCTCATCATGATTGTGTTTCTACATTCAAATGTGTTGGAAATAGTTTTCTGAAATCAAAATACCCATACACAATAATATACATGGTAATGTAAACTAATAATTTCTGTTTAGTAAAAAGCTTTTCTTTCGTTGCACGCATGTGTTGTGAAAACAAAATCATTGAACTTTTACATTGTTCGCATTCTTTACGTCAATTACGATACAATACTTTTCTGTATACAATTAAATATTTACACAATAAATTGAATGTAGAAGGCGTTGTTTTTTGCTCTCACAATTGCCAAATTAAACAACATTGCATGTCTTTTGGTTGCAAGCTTTGTTTTTGTGGCAAAGCTATATTACAATTAAAAGTCACACTATTACGGGAAAGATTACAGGAACCTGATATTTACGGTTAAATTAACTATATTTTGGATCCATTATGTTCTCGCACTATTTACTTCAACAACCCACGTTCATATACATTTCGTCTATTTAAAATCGGTTTACAGAACCAAACGGGAGCTCGAACCAAACAATCGCTATAGGAACTGTTAGATTTATTTCTGTCGAAAGTACATTACGAAAATAAATGGCCTACTCCGAGTGGAAGTGTCAAAGACTTGGGTTCGGTGCGGGTTGTTGCCTCGGCCGAAATGGGGTCGGAACGGCTTTCCGTAGGTATTCGCCAACACCTTGTTGCCAGTTTCTAAGATCAGTTTTTACGGGCCAACCTGCGAACCTGGTCCCACTACCTCACTTGCATAGCTAAGAATAAGACACCTTCCCGTTGTGAAACGAGCGCCTGATGCTCTAATTGTGTTTTCTCTGTAAACGATATACTCGTAGTTCTGAGAAGCGATTGTGAATCTCTATTCGATTTTCATTGGTTTCCCGAAATGTTTTGAAACTGTGTTTTGCTGACCGGTCAGTCTTAGTGTTGAAATATATGGTATACCGTTTCATTTGTCTCAATTTAAACAAATATGAAAATCGACGGCGATTTTGTAAAATCTGTTTTAGTTAAGAAATATTAAAATGCTTATTCCTAAACTACTCCATTTATCGTGACTCCAAATCCATAGAAATATTAAGTGGATTCTGTGTGCATTAAACATTCATTCGCAAAACATTAATTACTGAATCGTGAGCTGCTAAGATGTTGCTATGATGACCTAAATCCAGGCCATTGACGAAAACTATAAATAAACAAATACTTGTCAGAAAATCTTAGTTTGATGAATGATATTATCTTCCAGATTTATGATTAACATCCAAGTTCTAAAAATTTGATATAGTCGTTTTAACACGACCCGACTTCCTTTGTAAATAAATATGTTTTTTGTAAATCTTGCAGACTTTTTATTAATCTCATAAAGTCGAATGAGTAATTGATTTATTTCACGACGATCTAATATTTCTTCTACGGTCTCGTTGGCCTATTTGTTATGTTTGGCCTGTATAGTAGCCGCCTTGGGTGAGGCGAGAGGAAATGTCAGACTCTTACTCATTAAAAACCACCCCGTTTATACTTTTGCACTTCGAGCCTGCCCGGCAACCCGTTAAGTCCTCCGCGGCCCTGTATCGCCATCATCCCTACTGAGGGTCCAGTATCTATGGTGGGCTGATGGCTTTTTGGTATGGGCGCTTAGATACGAATTTAAACTGGATGAATTTCGGAATTGAGCATTTCCTATACGCATCCATTATCCATTATGCATGATGTCTGATTTTGAATCTAGTATGTACCTACAGCAACTGAGTGGAGTTACAATATCGCGAACTGACTAGCAGTGGTTGGAAGCAAAGTGCTGAAGATCACGCTCAGAGACGTACCACTGGAAATATATCCAGAAGTGGACAGAAACGTGCTTATGATGGTGTGTCTTCTTCCGATATTACATAGAATGGGTTATTCAAAAGATGTGTTTTTACTAAACATCTCTGCAACAGTTGTGTCCATTAGTAATACACAAAATAATTCATCCATTACTAGGAGAGTTGAAAACTCTTTCATTAATCTTCTGTCACACGATGTTACTTCGTTTATTTTTCATCCTCTGTTTTTTGGTGACGACATACTATCTCTGTATAGAAAAACTACACAGCTAACATTTATTTTCTCATTCAGTAAAAGTTTTCATGTCGTTTGACGTAATATTGTAGTGTAATGTCTCTGACTCGAAACCACTGATATCTAAAATTGTATCAGCTGTTTCTAAACAAACTGTTTGTTAACAAAAACCTCACCTATGATGTAATAACTAATAACACATATACGGAAACTCACACCATACAGCTAGGCAGAAACTACTAAGCGCAACCTTGTATTATTCTAACACTTTTTTAAAGAATATTCACAAAAAAAAACCTTTGTCTACACTATAACAAAAACTATACACGATAAATATGCTGAGCTAAAGTTATGTACCCCTAAAAATATTACACATTTATTTCCTTTCTACAATGTAATTAACGCATACTTTTAATTTGTTTGTAAAGTGAAACTCAAACATGACAGAAAATTGTTAAGATCCATCCCCATACATACACAATGGAAGTATGCAACAAATAAACTGTTTGGAGCACTTTAAGATCATATTAAACACTGACTGAAATGACGTATTATCCTTTTAACTCTAAGGCGTTGAAGAGACCACACACGGTTTCTCGGAACGCTAAATAAAACCAATAAATTTTGAAGCATAAACTCTCAGGATATGCGATCCTTCACGAAGAAGCTTTGAAACTCATACCGACTACTTGGTCAGATTTGAACGACCCTATTGTTTTATGTCCTAAATTATTATAGAGAGTGTCAAAAGTATTTGTTTACTGACATTTTTTGTAATCACCAAATTGATATTACTAAGTCAGAGCTTAATTCTAATTTACTTCCTACTCTCAGAATACAAACTTTAATTTGTAAATTGCATCTTAAATGCTTTTACGAGTTGCAACAAACCTATCTAATCTATAGGGCAATGTTATGTGATGCATATAATACTTCCTCGTCGTGGCCCGGTTGAAGACGCCTGCCTGCTTCTCATGCACGAGGGTGCGGGTTAGAAACTTACCAACGGCAATTACCAATGTGACTTTTTCCGAGTTACATGTACTATCTAAGATTATTTAGACACCACTGACCAACGGTGAAGGAAAACATCGTGAGGAAATCTGGGCTTATAATTTCTATTTATAAGTTTGAAATCGCCAAACCCGCATTGAGCAAGTGTGGTGATTAATGCTCTAACCTTCTATATGTGAGAAGAGGCTTTGCTCAGAAGGGCATTGATAAGCTGCTGATGATAATACTTCCTTGCAATATTCTTTACAATTTTGGAAAACTCATCCGACTAAAACTGACAAATTGTACACGAAATTCATCGAAAAACTAGATATTTTGTTCGCTGATGACAACAAAGGGAAAAACAAGCAAATAGAAGTTTCTAGTTGAACTTAGTAAGACGATCCGATTAAGGCACCGTGCACATTCAAAATACATAGTAGACTCAGGTCATCGGAGGGACTAAAATAAATGAATGGCAGAGAAAGATGAGCTGGTACGTAAGAATCGGCGATGAGTTGACGTGATGAAACGGTGTAGTCACAGGTTGGAATGAAGCCACGTGGCTGTTTGTTTACAAGGTGACCAGAGGTACTCAAATTGTGTCATTCACTGCGGAAGATTTTTTTTAGAAGTCCGTAGTTACGTTTGGATAATGAAACTTAAATTGTTTTTTATTTAAGATGATAAAAGAAAACAGAAGGTTTTTAGTAGGGTAAATAATTGGTTGTATGTGTGTGTGTGCTATATGGATGTAAGCAACAGTTGTAAAATTGACGCTGCGATGCTTATAAATATAGAAAATACCAATAAAATCTTAACTTTATTTTTTTTCAATTAAAACATTTTTTATAAATTGTTAACTTTATGAGGCGTAGCAGTGTAGCAAGCACCTTGACAGCAAAAGTAAACTAGACTGACAGAATCTAAGCCAGCAGCAACAAGCGTAAAGTATTAAAACATTCCCTCAGAAAAAACTCGTTAAAACATAACATAAAATCATGCCTTTTATCCCCGAAGGGGTAGGCAGAGGTGTACATTTTGCCACTGTACAATGGAACACTCATTTTTTACTATTTATGTTATGAGCCTATGTAATAGGGGGTGAGCCTATTGCCATATACCGGGCACAATTCCAGACTCCGTGCTATTACTGAGAATTTTTAAAAACCCCAGTAAGACTTTGCCCGACTCGGGAAACGAATCCGAGGCCCCTTGCCCGGCAGTCACACTTATGACCACTTAGCCAACGAGGCAGTCTCTCTTGTCTCGTGATCTTGTGAAAAGAACGCATTATTTGGCGCTTATCTACTGATAAACAATTGATTTAAAAAAAAAAAATATTTGATGTTTGGTACTAAAATATTTGTCTCTCAAATATTACGCGTTCTGTAAAACAGATCAATTATATCAGTCACATAAATTACCGATGTTATAACACACATGAATGTAAGTCATACATTAAAAGACATAGTAAACACAGACTTTATTAATGTCTAACGGCAAAAGTCTACTGAGTCATGTACTTCGTAGCTTCCACAGAAAAGCCGCCGCAATAATAGTCACCTTTTTGTTGAATACGTAATAAAACTTTGTCGTGTGGATGAAAGCCAATAAATTTATGCCAAAAATATGCCGTTCTAAATATAGTGAGAATATAATAAAAGGTGAAACGTTTTCAAGTAGTTGACCGAGTACCCGAATGGCCTATTTTACTGGTAAATGCTTGCGATAATTATAGGAAAACCTTAATTAAGGAGTTTCTTTGAAAACTAATTTCAACTGCGTATGGTTCTTATGTGGGTATTAGGGTTAAGTGGTGTATCTTTATACCAGTTTTTAAGTATTTGGGACTTTTCCTTGATGGAGGTATGCAGTCTAAACAGAGACATGATCTGAATAGTTTGAAGTCAAAAATATTAAAATTGAAAATTAGAACTTACTGTCAATTTATGTATTTTCGTCATCGGATTTTCGTACTATGATTTTGGGCCGTAGTTTTGTAGCAAAAGTTTTCTACTGCCTCACTTGTTATTTACTTTATTGTTCACATTGGCTATTCAGACATTTTCTCCACGTTCATGGCTTTAAATAGGCTTAGAGTAAGAACCACAATGTATAAAAACAAAATCTCGTACCATTAATTTACTTTAATCGCTTTTAAGCGCAAACTGCTATGTTCCAAGTAAAAGACCTAGGGTACATAAAATCACGCTAACACAGATACGGCAACAGGATAAAAGCCCTGTTACAATTAGTGCGAAAGCTAAAGCACTAATTGGAAACACGTTTGGCATAGATAAAGTGCACAAAGATTTGATAAAATGTAATTAGTAAGGCTTGGGTACTGGCAATTGCTATCGATACAACACCTTCAACTTCAATCGCTTTATATTCAAGGGTGTGGTCACATTGCAATGGAACTTGTTGATGGAATAGTCCAATCAAGTGTCTAGTTAATCTAAAGTTTCTGTGTGATTGACTGACATATTTCTGTCCATGTACCTCTAACATAATGTTTTTATGTCCATGTTGCTATTTCTATGTTGCCATCTCATTGGTAGATCTTCCTTTTGGTCTCTAATGGGATCAATCCATGTGACATTATAAAATCTTTACGATTTCTTATTATATTTACATTGACCCGTTTTTTTTTTGTTTTACACTAAATACATGGTGCATTCTCATTGTGCCTACCGTTCACTACCTCAAAACATTTCAAATGATGTGCATTATCCATTGTAATGGATACCGACACAAGTTTACGGGTGTAATCACTATTTTTTTCGAAACTATGTCCTAAATCAAAATTATTTAGTAGGTACATTTAAAAATAATTATTGAAAATGAATAACAAATACACACACTGTTGAAACAATTCGCAGCGCAAGCGTATGAAGCATGAATACAGATGCAGAGCTTGTCAACATAATTTTATCACTACGTACGGCCGTCGCGAGGGTACAGTTCTTGACTGCAGCTCAAAATAGCTCCCAGCTAACATTTCGATGCGATGGGATATCCTGACAAATTATTTTTATATATCCCAGTTTGTCTCTATATCCGTTAGGGACGGTACCTATTTCTAATTGTTCGTTTTAGGGGATTATTTTTGGTTCGTTATGGTATTTGTGTGTTATAGCGGTGAGATTTGAAGCAATGTGATGTTTGTCGCTTGGTTGAAATTTATGTTTTGTCGTCGTAAACAAACCATTTTGATTCTTTCTTACAATGTTTCGGTTCGAAAATTAACGAGTGGGGTTTCGTGGCTGTTTATCGTAGAGCTTGCTCTCTTTGTATTTTGCTTCGCTTTGACAAGATTCTATTAGTAGTAGATAACTAAACTTCTAATTTTAAAGATGATAAAAAAAAACTATGATGACTCCTTAAAATTAGTGGAAATGTGGAAATTATACGATGATTATGTTTCTGACCACTCAGAACGGATTTCTAGTCAACCAAGAATAAGGAGTCCACCTAATAATTTTCCGAATGATCAGTAATACTTTTATTATTAGCCGAATGCTTTCATTCAAAACTTTTAAGAAGAGACCATTGTATACGATATAAAGTATATTATTACGTGTTTGATCCAGTGAAAAGAACAATCTGGTGTGCCGTGTACTTAATGTGAAACAAATAAACCGGGTTAACGTAAACATAACCTGAATTCGTAAAGGTTTAAAAGCGGCGTAATCAAAAAGGAGATCTTGACCTTATAATAGTTCTGTAATCTTGTGTGAGTATATGTACGTACAGAAATGTGTCTTGTCACAACGGTAGCTGTATGCTGATAACCAAATAGTCCTCCCGCCCACACTAGTACGTGCCTAGATTATAACTAGCGGGAATCATACAAATCCCACACTTTAGAACTTTTTACTGTATTTTTCGAATACAGATTTATTCCTTTTAGTCATAATTTCTGGGGAAAGCATCAATTCAGGTTTTAAGTAAGTAGGTATCGATTTAATAAGTGACGAATTTAATGTTATATTGTGTGTTAGGGCCAAAATTTGTTTAAACATGCATATCATACATAGGTTAAATGTGATCTACTGTGATTAAAATTATGTCAGATTAATTTCAAGCTTCATTCCATGGATTTATTGTCTACAAATCACCTAGTTTTGCAACGTTTTCTAATCCTATCGTCATTGTTCCGAAATGTTACCGCCCTCGATTAAAGCTAAACAGAAAAGTTTGTATATAATGAAAACTAAATCTATAAAATTGGTTCAGTAAATTAAGCTTCACCTTGACCGATTATTTTGAGATCTTTCTTTTGTTTCATTTTACTCACACTTTCGTAATATAAACTTTCGTATACGAATAGATAGTAGATACATGAAGATGTTTCAAAGTTTTCTAGAATAAAATATGACTTGTTTTAGGCTTTTTTGAAGATTATCTGTGCTAAATTTTAGATTACATACATTTTAGCCTGATAATAAGGGTGTGGTGTCGTGTCATCTGTTGATGAATGAACCCACAGAACTATTTACCCAAAAAACAGGATAAAACTGAAAGAAAGAAACCAGATTAAGAGGTAAAACAAATAGCACATTACGAACAGAAACATGTTGTATCTACAGTCTACACGTTACTACACAAATGCATCGCGTGCACAACTGCACATTTCACAACGTAAACATTATAATTCAGTCTGTCTTCATACGTAGATAAGTTCTATGCTCTTACGCATGTATTACCCTAAATATATTACGTACTTTCATTTACTAGACTCCGCTAAACTATTCCTGTTATTAGCTGCTTTACCCGACGTAATTAAAAGCACAGATTTCTGTAATAAAACATTGTCAACGTGAACTATTTTGCATGTAACTGTTTAGTAATCTCAATCGTATGTGTATTAGATGTAAAGATTAAATTCGTTTGTGGTGTGCGATTCCTAGATTAGCTGGGCACGCGTCTCTGCTCGTTGAAGTCGGAAAACATCATTTGATCGGAAGTTATAAACTAATCGGTTGGCTATAAGAAAACTGGCTTGAAGTCAGCTAAAAGAATGCGACAAAAGCTTAAGAATGTCTATTTGTTACAAAGAAAAACACTATGTTTTTATATAATTCAGTTAATAGTTAGTGAAGTTTTGAAATAATGTATTCAATTTTCAATATTTATAAGGAAAGGTTGGTTTAATAACCTTAGTTTTGATGAAGCATTTAATGTCTTGTAAAACATTCGTTCATACAATCATAGGATTTCTGGGATTTTGAGGAGACATTCGTGTTTGTCAGGCATTTTTTTAATTCATTCGACCTAATATGAATACAATACATCTGTTACAAGTATTATAATACCATATCAAAATGCAATAATCGAACCAAACACGATGTATCATCACCTATTTGACATTAGTTAGTAGCTATAATGAAATGAATCCTCGATGTTCACATAGCTGTATTCTGAGTACTTTAGAGTCTAGAATGCGATGGTAGCAATTAATTAGCTTTGCGGCCGTACTTCAAAGAACTAATGACATGGAATAAAGTGACACTTTCCCTACAGGTGCAACCAAATGCCGTGTGTTGGTTTCCAATACTTAGACCGTTTTCTCTATATTGTTGTGGTGAATTAGGACTACTATTTTTTATTTCAAATTATTTGTAATATACCTATAAATAGTTGCAAGTTGATTATTCGTTAGATTTTTGTTTATAATTGCGTTTTGAGATTGAAAAATGTACATGTGTGTTTTTCTAGAAGAGACGATTGAATTTTTTTTGTTTTTGCATTTAATGAGAATATTCTAGAGAAGAGTTATTAGTTATCAAGAAGCCTTCGAATATTAAATTGCTGAAACAGCTGGTGTTCAAAGTAATATTGTATTTATAAGAAATGTAAAGTGAGCTATCTGATATGGATATGCTATTTGAGTCAAGGTCTGAGGCACATAATCAAGTTTTAGGGCAACCACTACAAAATACAAATGGCAATTCAAAAAATAAGTAGATTTTTACTTCTTTTTGGAGTTGAGTGAACTGCGTTTTTGTTACTGTGCACACATATTAACTCGTCGA